TGCAAATGATTTGCAATGGAACATGCTCTTTGCCGCAGTTGTCTGGCTTGTAAGCTAGCAGCAAATGGAACACTGATTATTGCAAATTGTAACTCATTATTAGTACTGCGTTACTGAAACTAAGTATTGTTAGGTAGCTGTTGACTTATTGCTTATGACGCACGCACCGAATTAATATTTTCTATATGATCTCATTAGACGTGACTTCAAGGTCGGACTCGGGGGGGGGGATTAGCGAAGATGTATTAAGGCTTCGACCGCTTGTGTGTTATTGCGACGTGTATATATAATTGAGTCGTCAATGGATAGTTCAGCATCAAACGTGACTATACATAAATAATGCACACCACTGTAAGACAATGCACACTGGACGCATACAGTGTGTCGAAGCTGAAAATATACAACAAAATTGATCTGCAGAAGCATAAATGTTACGTTTTTTTTTTTTTTTTAAATTTGACATGCTTATATAAAATTGTCGTCGTCTCGTTTCGGAAGCGGCTGGAATATACCACACTTATCTTAGCTCTACGTTTAGACTTGGTATTTTTATGGCACAGATGCCGGTAGGTGGTGATCTCAGCCCCAAAATTACATTGTAAAAATGCATTTGTTCTTGGTCGTCGTGCAGCGCTTGTTCGAACATCTTGTAAACAAAAAGTATATTTTACACGCGATCAGGACGCAACGCGGCGACCACCGCCCTTTAAAAGTCTGTTCATGAATAATGAAAAGAACAGTTGGGTTATTAAAGATATACTATTGCCAGATCTCCATATAATTTACAACCAATAACATTTTACAAAACAGTAATCAGTCTGTTCATGTAAGTTATGGCCACATTACTATATGTGTGTGTAAATCTTGCAATGGGTGAAGGATTATGCAATTTAGCCATTCTCTCAACTCGAGTTTTAGTTCAAACCTAAATAGCTCTCAGAGTACTACTTTGTTTCCTGTGACCTTCACACCAAGTATAGGGTCCGGGATTGTTGATAATCATGTTTTAGTTGTTGTTGGGGGGGGGGGGTACTCCCTATAATTTACCTTACGTGCATATGCCGCCCTTAGTTTTTTTTTTTTTTGCATTTCGTGTTCCGGAATTTTCTAAATGTTTTTGATAAACATATTATGCCGTGTGTGTCCCATTTGAACTTTGCGTTTAGAATCTTCCAGCATACATTGCGTTATGCGCATGCGTTATAGCTACATTTGACAAAATGGCTAACATGCAGGGGACGTTGCCGATATAATACAAATTATATATATTTATTTATAGTCGCATATTAAGTTAATGAATTTTAAGTGGACACAAAAAAATAAATGGGAATGATCTGAACTTGGTCCCATAACTGAACCGACACAAGAAAATAGCAGTTTGTATGAGCAAATCGTTCCCATTTCGGATTCTCGACCGAACGAGGATAGTAAGAGTTGTATTTCTAACATTGATGATATGTTTTGAAGTTTAATATATTGGTTGTCATGTATTGTATTGAGTGGTATAGTCTGTAGAGCGCCCTCGGTGGTGAGGTCATGTGCTGACCCGGAAGTACATGTATGTTAATAAATGGTTGGCTGAGTGCTGACAGTAATCCAAGTTGTTTGACTATTTGTTTGGTTAAATCTAGACCATCCTTTGACTATCGGATGTGACATTGGTGTATATATTGTGTTCCAATGACGTGTAAAAATATACAACATAAGTTTGAATAGAGATGACAAACACAACATACAGAATGGCAGGCATGACTGTACTTCTATGATGGCTGAACTCAGTAACTGACGGTTCATTGCTTTTTGTTTTGCGTAAAACATCGTGCAATATGTGTGGTTACTGTAGAACACAGCTTGAAAACGTGTCGACCCCGGAAGTTTGAAAGTCACGTGGTTACTGCCGAATGATCAGACGCGCTGTATTCGAGGCACTGAGATCCCAAATTATCGTCAGACGCGGTGTAATTATATTTGTGCATGCGTAACCTACCTAGCAACAGGCAAGGGTAGGGCAAAAACAGGACACAAGTCAAAAAGGGAAAGGGCATGCAACCCCGGAAGAAGTCAGCGACATATTTTAAAAAGATAGCAGAGCGAGTGTGTGGTACCAAAGGAACAGATAGAAGAACTATTTAATACAGAAACGTGGATTACCAGTTGAAAAAGATGATTTTTCAGAAGAAATGAACTAAATAGGAGACTTTACGTATTTGTTTCGCTGAGTAAATATGACCTAATTTTTTAACTCCCAAAATACCCCCCCCCGATAATTTGAATGTTCGTTTTTCTTGCTCAGGCACAACAGTGATCACATTTCAGAGGCCGATACGAGTTAGTTGAAAGATGATGACACTTTCATTTGAGGTGATTTTTTACGCTGCGAGTTGAAAACACGGATGAGCGGTTACTGCTTACAACTTTGCGCTTTTGGAACATTCGAAATCCGTCCTACCTTCCGGTTTTAGACCCGGGTTTAAAACCTCAGGTCACGCAATATGCACACGTGCACAAACGATATACACACAAATGCTATCAATTCAGGAATCGGAAATTACTGCGCCAAAGTTACACGGCTTGGTCGATACATTGATTGCGACTATTTGCCGTTTAAAGTCGTATAGTCAACGCCAGTCAACATGCACTGCGACACTAGAAATAATAAATGGGTTCACGGTTCCCAATCTTTCTACAGACACGATGTCTATAGTGAAATGCGACAACTGCATTAAAGTTCGTGGCGTCTGTGAACTCTGACACACACTTAGATTCACTTCAAAGACAATGTCGCCAAATATAGTACACTGAGTGTGATAAGAATTCATCTTCGCTGAGGGAGATCTGCAGTAACTGTTAGTGCCGCAGGTTCTAAGTTAATTTACATCGCGATAACAATAATTCAATCTACGGGACAGCTGACAGGTACATACACGTTTTTATTAGAGTGACATTGAAGTAGTGTGTCTACCAATATATAACCAATCACGAATACACAAAATCCCAAGTGATTCACGTAATCAATGAGGCATTTATATTTATTGCCAGGCATTATGGGACGTTTGGTCACATGGAGCAAATCGTCGCTACGGGCACTCGTGACATACAGTATGTTTATGAGAACGTACCTATACGGTGCTCTTCGTGTAAACACACGTATTCATTTGTGAGATTTCAGTAGCAAGCTCCTTTTCACATTTCGCGATTAAGAGATATCATTGCACCTGGATTGATACACTGTAATTCGGAAAACGAAATGAAAGACTAGGTATTTTATGGTTATGAGGCTCAATTCGAATGGCGGGTTATTGAATATAAATTGAAGTCAACATTCTAGAGGTGACCCTTTAACCATGCAATTTGTGAGAAAAATATTCAAATGTGATGACATGGAGTCAATTGAAGTCACCTAATAACGAGACTCAATTTATGCGAGTTAGGTGTTTTACGTTATCGTACTAGGGGATCCATACGCAAATTCGATGCAATTCTCTCCTCTGAACAAACAAGGGGCCAAGTACAACGGGATAAAAAAATAACTACGTCTCTGAAAACACTGTCGTTAATTTATAATTGCAATTCAATAGGCAATATAACCCTGAGTTGAACTGATTGATTAAAACTTTGTATTTTATGAACCAAGTACGATGTTTGAACACTGCGTTCTCAACTTCACTAGCTCGTGTAAAATACTTGAAGATCAATAAGGCCGCTACTCATATTTTTGGAAGCACGTCAAACATTTATAGCACCGAATTCGTCCATGTGAATCACAACCCTCGTACGTGCAAATAAGCACTTATAAAACCCCACGTGTTCCTGACATAATATATCAATCTTCCTTATCCCGGAAAAAAAAGTGATCATATAATCGTCAAAGTCAGTATTGTGTTCTCTTTTTTTTTGATAATCGCTAAACACAATAAATTTATTCACAAAAAAAAACTTTAACGATTACACTATATAACTCATATCACCGATAAATGATTACACACTCATTCCCGGCAGTGGAAATTAACTCGTCAAACACGCAATACTGTCGAAAACGTGTTATTTTTAATATCTATGTTTGATACTGTATATTGTGAACAAATAGACATTTTCCGTTCGTTGCGAAATCTCAAATTATACTTGAAATCTAACGCAATAAAACAGGTCAAACACAGGTCATCAAAACATTAACACTAATTTTTGGTTATTTCCCTGCTTAATAATTTGTTATACACATTTAATGCTGGTCAATTTCGGTGAAGTAAGAATATAAATAAAATTCAATTTAAAATTCAAATTATTCGATTTTTGAGGCATACGTTCGGTCCGCGCTTTTCACGCAAAATGCGATATCTCACAGTGAGATTAAAAACAACCTGTAGGACTGTGTCTTATCACGACCTAAAAACATATAAGTATTCCGATGAAACAAAACATTCTCCAATACGCATGCGCCTTGTTTGTTTCGTTACGTACAATATTATATCACTACACATGCGTAATAGTGTTTACGATTTTTTTTATCTAACGAGTACTTCTGTTTTTCCCTAAGACGTAACATTATTAGTTTATAATAAATCATAGTCAATTTGCCTACAGTATGAAGTATCAAAGAGCTGTATTAAAAATTATACGTGTTCCTCTTTATTGCATCTTTAAATTTTATATTTCCGGAATTGCATTGGTGATATTTGCGGAGATTTGTTACTACGCATCTGTAATTTAAAAATATAACCCAGTTAAAACGAAATATGAATGTCGTCAGAGCTGTAATCACACACGTAGTTTCTCGGTTGACATGAACGTACTTTCATCTCGTTTGAGGGCAGGTACGCGCTCGGTGACAAAAACTGTACACAACTTGTCTAGTACTGACCTCTCGTAACTGATAATGAATAATTCCCTCGTTTATTTTATTTGCATAAGTATCACGTTGAGGACTACTTGTTTTTCCCCTTCAAAATTCAGATCATTCTGAAATACGGACGATGACACGTGTGTAGTCTGTTATGGGAACAATGTTGTTTTTACTAGAAGACGTGTTTGCAAATTCTACCGACGTGTTGAATTTCACCATCGGAATCGGAAACGGAACGACAAATCAACGAGTCCCTGCTCACAGGCCGCTTTGGTTGTCTACTCTCCTTGTCGTGTGTCTTTCTACGCTAGCCGTATTCACCGTGCTTAGCAACTTACTAGTAATCTGCGTGGTCATACGATACCGTTTCTTGCGGACAATCACCAACAATTTTGTGGTATCTCTGGCGTTCTCCGATCTAATTATGGGACTCTTCGTCATGCCGTTGGCGATCGTGTACGATCTCGAGAGCGGGCAGTGGAATTTTGGTCCCTTGTTCTGCGACATGTGGAACGCGACCGAAGTGTTGAGCGGAGTAGGATCGATGGCCAATCTGTCAATGATTTCCTTTGAAAGACATCTGGCGATAGTGCACCCTATGACTTATCGACACCGGGTTACCAGGGAGAAATCTTATCTGATGATAGCTATAACGTGGATAGTAGCCTTGTCTTTATCATATCCGTGTATATTATGGTGGCATCACACCACCGAAGAGAACATACCACAACACTTAGTTTGTAAATTAACGCAAGATAGAACGTACCTGATAACAGCCGTCACCTGTGGCTTTTTTGTGCCCTGTTTCATAATGATATTTGCCTACTTCAGAATCTATTTAATAGTTAAACGGCAAATGAAAAATATTTACGATGGGAGACGGGCTGTTAGATCCCCGGAGGGAGTTAAAAGTGAAGACAACGTACTGCGGATTCACCGTGGTAACACCGCCAGCATTTCGAGAAACCCTTCGCAAGAAGATATTTCAAAACGCAGAAGAGTAAGCTTGAAAATACAACGGGAGTATAGGGCTGCCAAAATGTTGGCAATTGTAATTGGAATTTTTTTTATTACGTGGCTGCCGTACATGACATCAGAACTGCGAATTAGTGTGTGTGGGTATCAGTGTCTGCAATTGCCGAGCGTTGCACTGCGTGTATTTAAATGGCTTGCTTATGCAAACAGCGCTCTCAACCCACTCATATACGCAAGGAACAGTCACCGTTTCCAGTATGCGTTCTCTCGTGTATTTAAGTCGATTGTGGATAGAACTAAGTGCAGTATACGAAATCACACGGAACACGAACTCAACAACGTTCCAAGTAAGACGAGAATGAGACGAAACAACCCTGAATCTAGTTTCGTTTCTGAAGTAGGAACGAAAAATCTGTAGGTACTATTTGAAAAAGTGTAACTTAACAATAGTGTAAAATAGAGATTTGACATTCATATTTAGCGAGCATTTGCATGTCATATATATTCATCGAAGCATTTGCATTTTTTGCATATTCATAGAGGCATTTACATGTAAAACATATATACGTTTTTTTTGTAATACATTTCCATAGATACATGCTGTAAATGCTCATAGATGCTACAAATGCTCGTAGAGGCGTTAAATGGTATAAACATTCAAAGACGCATTTGCATGTAATACATATTTATAAATGCATTTACGTGTAATACGTATTCATAATGCATTTGCATGTAATACATATTCATAAATTCATTTACATCTAATACGTATTCATCAATGAATTTAAATGTAATACATATTCAAAAATGCATTTGCATGTAATGCATATTCATAAATGCATTTGCATGTAATGCATATTCATAAATGCATTTGCATGTAATGCATATCCATAAATTCATTTGCATGTAATACATATTTATAAATTCATTTGCATGTAATACATATTTATAAAGGTTTAAAACATCATCGCCATCATAGCAGTTCATAAACACGGTGTCTCAGTCTCAGAACTTCCGTCGAATCTCATGGATCTAACCTCCAATCCATTCTGAGCTGTAACCAGCATTCAACTATGCAGACCCGATGAAAGATGGTTGTGTGTCACTTTTCAAGAATAAACTCATCGATAACGTAACAAGTATGTTGCAGCGGAAACGCTTGTTATTTTATTATAATAACATCAAAACGGAAAACACCTGTTTACAATAATTACAGTACTTTTAATGAAAATGACTCAGTATTCATAATAATGAAAATACAGTGGTCTAAATATTTATCAGATGAAGAAATTATTGAAATACTTTTGCAACATGGGAAATATTGATATTTAATCTTTTTGTGTTTACTTTAAATAAATCATACAATATCAAAGTCTATAAGCAACTATTAGGCGACAAAGTAGACACACAGAAAACAAGCTCGTCACAATAGATCACATTAAATTCATATGACTCCCTGTGTCAGTCCACTATTGCTTGCAATTTCACATTAAACACGTGACATTTCGAAATACATCATGATCTTATAAATAAACTTTATACGTAAATTATCGCTGAAATATTGTTGCTTTTGCTTCTCGGGCGAACAATGCACGTGATTACAATTATTCTCGCTCTTGGCGAGATTTCGGCGGCCATTTACGTCAAAAGTCTATTATACTAGTATACTATCTGGACGCAAATTCTATATAAGGTTTTAACAACAATGATTCCAGCATGGAGACTTTGACGAGGTAGTGAGAACATAATGACAAGAATGTTCCAAGTACGTACGTGATGGCGATTAAATCCTATGTCGTTCACGCGTCCATAAAGCTGCTACGTGACCAACTCTTGTAAGTTTTGATTGAGGGATTTGGCACTTGTGTGCATTCTTAGGGCGCTGCATTGCTTGACTACAAAAACCGTTTGAAGTTAGAAGGCATTGTCAACTAAATAAAACGTTTCTACGTCGGTTTACCTTGTATCCCCGCACATCCCGGCCATTTTGATATCAACAAGTCGCATGTGATATCCACTAAAGAATAAACAATAGCTTTTGAGGTATCGTAATTTTCATTATGATTAATGCATTTCTTATGGTTTTTATGAAAGAAAAATGTAACTAATACACTCATCATAATTGATATCAACTTATAACAGTATTTGTACACGCAACTATATTCTGGATCGGATTTAGGTTTATTAACAAGTATCATATTTTATATTACATATCTGAGCATAACAAATATCAACATTAGCATAAGAACAGATCATACATGAGAAAAACAGAGCTTTTATGATATCGTTGTTTTCATTTGTAAAATTTGCAATTCTTGTTTGATTTTTCTTGTTTCGCGAATAACGAAGAAAAAGAACATTTATGTAAATTATTCACACTATATCCACTACTCGTGTGTTATATATCAACATTAATGGAATTTTTATGCAGACATATATTATGCAAATTGCGCGATTTATTTCAAATAGGCTTTTAGTACATCTCACAGTCTATGCCCGGGGACAAACTGGCCAATATTAACACATTGTCACATATGGTAAACCATGCAATTACTCTTTCACCTTATACTTGATATTTTCTCAGCTGCCACAATTTCTTCGAGTTTGCGTAATTTTATGAACCAACGTTTTAGTCAAATTAATCTATAGATATTCGGGTTCAAATAACCGTCTCGATACATAATTCGTGATTCTGAAGTAATATTATAAATCATTTGAATATTTGTTGCAACTTTAATATAGTGAACATGGCAAATACACAATCATTTGTTTCCCATTCGTGATACTAAATTGTTTTCACGAGTATGGCAACCGATGTGGCTCACAACATGGCATTTTAAAAAAACACTAATTTTTACAATTCATTTACATTTTGAAAACTCATTTTTATTTTATAATCCTTTTTTAAGAATCATTTTCGTTTCTGGTTCTGTTTTTATTTTGAAAATCAATTTTTTAAATCCATTTTCATTTTTAAAATCAATTTTCATTTTCAAAATCCATTTTCGTTTTTTAAATTTCATTTTAATTTTTAAAATTATTTTTCATTTTTAAAATCCATTTTTGTTTATAAAATCCGTTTTTATTTGTAAAATCCATTTTCGTTTTTGCTGAACTATAGGTATATCTGTATTTTTCACGTTGAAGCAAATTTCTATTAGAATTTACTGAAAATAATTGTTGTTTCCCGCCTATCACATTAACTTAAGACGTCAACTATGGCGGAGCTTCATTATACTGCACGAATGAACAAATATGCCGTCCATTACATTAGAATGTCCGGTGATGACCGATTCTGGAACAAGTTTTAGCCAATTCAGCTGTTTAAATGTAATCAATACTGAATGTGTTATAAAGCCTACTGTACCATTCAAATTCAAATTTAATTTAATTATGTTGGTGTGTATTGATTGTTTTATTAAATAGATACACTTGTGTTATCACATAACTGACCAGAAGATTACATTACATTACACTTACATTACATTACATTACACTTTCCTTGATGATACCTTTTCGATTGTGAAAATGTTGAGCAATGATAAATTTACCTTAGTAAAAATATAATCACTCGTCTTTAATACGGGGCAAAGACCGGAAGTGTGTAAAAAGCAACTCAGCGATCTACAGCAACACTGGTGAACATGATTATAATCGATCAACAACGCTATATAAATATGCGTTTTCAATTAGTTTGGGATGGAACAGGAGATACGGTTAAAATGATTTTTTTGTGTGATAAGCTAGATATAAGTGGAGCTAAGTTGATAATATTCTAACCATATTGATAGTATCATTAATATTAATGTTTTAGCATGAATCTATCGCAATAGATCTAAAACAATAGTCACTGGAAGTTTTTTGAAAATTTCACATTTTTTTGAACTAAAGGAATTTTGTGATAACACACATAATCATTTAGGAAATATGCTTTATTGATAATTGATGATATTGCCCAAGACAAAACTCCAATAATGATACTTTATTTCAACCTTTCCAGTATACGCCATCTATGAAAGATAATAAGAAACCTTTGGGGGGGGGGGTGTAGCTGGTTGAAAGTAGAAATTACGTGAATGATTTAATTAATTAAAATGAAAAAAAAAAACGGTTTACTCTTGGACAATTCTCTGGGACGGATTCCCTAAAAATATAGTACGTACCCTTACCTTCGTCTACATATTCACTGTTACACAATGTCTTTGTTGCAAAAGTCATTAAAATAAAAACAAGCAATGATTTTTCTTAGCTGCTCCCACAAGGCTCCCCCAAACAATGCGCGCATACGTAAAGTATTTAAAGCGGGTGAGTCGTCACCTGCGCACGTGCGGGAATTGAGTCCCAAGCGACGATAACAACACACGCCGAAAACGCAAAGTCTCATGGGTAGACAATGACACGCTATGGCAACCTGACGCATGCGTAGGTGACGACTCCCTCGCTTTAATACATAAGATTGAAGAAGTCTAAAACTCAACGAGGTGTCACTATAATAACATATCAAACATGACATCACGCTAAAATGCATTGGGCGACTGGTCAAATGGAGGACATGTCCAAACCTCCTCTGGGGTGTGTTTTATCTTGAGAAAACAACATGCTAGACCGAAGATTATTCATATAAACCGTACTAGTTCAAACAAGTCCCGAAAAGATGTTAAACATTTGTAAATTCTTTATTAAAAATGTATCAAGTATTACCAACTGTACCCATGTAGATAACATATCGCTATGACAGCTTGGTGACTCTCCCCACTTATGGGTATCCGGTCTACTGTTTATTTAGCAATGAGATGTAATAATGTATATGGACCAACATAATTCCTCATCTTCATGCGTGGTTTAAACCTGCAAGCTGTGTAATCAATACCTCGTAAAACACTCCATCATTACCTTGGAACCTTTATGATGGAAGTTTTGAACGAACTTCTGGTGTTTGTCAAAAGCGGAAACGACTAGTCAATTCCGTGCAATGTGTGTGTGACTCCATACGAAACACTAGTTCAATATATGTGTTCCCGCCTTCCTCCATTGTTGTGAGTTGTGGTTTAATTTATCAAATACTGAAGATTGAAGAAAAGATTTCAACATTATGAAGGGGCGTTGTTACAAATCCTAACAATAAGAACAAATACCGAGATAGCTTTCGGGCGTTTAAGGTTGTTGCCGGTGGCGGCGCATATTGCAGTTTCTCGGCAGGCTCATTCTCGCTGAAGATGATTTGCGCTTCAAATAGATAGCTTTCAATTTCACCTTCATTATTCAAATGTGTTCTTTGGGTTTATACCTGATATTACCTTAATTCTCAACAAGTATAACATTTTACGCCATAAAAAGATATTTCCGTCTAACGCAACATAGATATCAATTGTCAATAATGATGTCGGTAGCAATTATACTCGTTATCTGCGCACGCGCGGGCATTGAGTCACAAGCGACGATTGAAACGCTAAAAACACAAAAGCTCATGGGTAGACGCTTGTTTGTAAACAATGACTAGCTGTGGTCATCTGACGCATGCGCAGGTGACGACTCCCCTGCTTTGAAATAAAAGATAAAATGCAGTTCAAGACGCCGGTTTGTGAGATATGTTTGGAGCCTTGTGGCATGTATAAATTTAATTATACATTTCCACATATCCTGCATCGCCAGGTTGCTGTCTGTAATTTCGGTTATTTCAAAACCAATATTTCTTTCGCAGTGTAATTACTGCGATGTCATAAATCAGGGCATTTCTTTTCATTTGTGTCAAGCAGATATTACAGCACGTAACAAGTTCTGGACAGATTTATTTAGTCATTTTGCAGTGTCCTTCAGTATACGGGTGAATAACGTAGACGGCATGTCAAATTTGTGTTTAATCTTAGATTGATAGAATTGGAATATATTTGATTAAACTAATGTTTGATTTGAATTTGCGTTTTTTGTTTGCCAAAGTGGTGTACCACTGGTTACATAGGTAACATAATTTCTTTGTTCATTCATTCATTCATTCATTCATTCATTCATTCATTCATTCATTCATTCATTCATTCATTCATTCATTCATTCATTCATTCATTCATTCATTCATTCATTCAACAAATCATTCTCTAATTTCAAACACTTGTTGATACTGACCACTAAGAAGCCAGGACTCACCTGTTTTACGACTTCATTGTTCAAAATAACCGTTCAACAACACATTTAAACCTTCAAGCCAGCTGTTCTAAATTTTGCAGTGGGGGAATTAGGGCAGTAACACAATGGCTTGTTTTTAATTAATTTAATCACGAGCTACAACGCGGTCGCCGATTGGTTCCTCACGCTGTCAATCCGGTGTATAAAAAATACATTATGCTTATGAAGATTTAGATACTTGAACTCGCGTGTACATGTCTATTTCAGACTGTTGATGCGACGCACCTGTTACTACCCACGTCTGTTGCCTGGAAACCAAAGTATACAATAATATGTGTTACTTACAAACATTAAACATACGACGTGTATCCGTGATACAACTTAAATAACTACGCTCGTATGCACAAATCTCCGTCCGTACTGATTACATATGTTGACAACCTTAACACAGATTAATGTAGTTTGTTTTATATTAAGCACACACGAAACAACGGCAGAGTGTTGGCAGGACATTATTAGGTATTATATTCACGAAAATGTTTTTTTTTCCTTAACCCATTTGACGCAGTGATGACCATTTTCCAAAGAAAATTAATATTTTGTAACTTAGCTCACTAAGAATAGCTACAATTTGTGTTGTGAAATTGCAAACCACTTGACGAGAATGTGGGAAAATAAAATGTGCGGATTAACCTAATTAATTTTAATCAAGCAGAGCGTCACAATTGCAAACATACGAATGAAAACATCTAGACCGATGACGTCATCAATCAATGTCAGTGCTGCTCATACTAGTATGTATTCAAATGATGTTGACATTTTCGTGTAGTACTCAAAAGGGAAGCACGTATATATCAGAAATCAAGACGTTTAGTGGTCATTTCTGTGTTAAACGTCGTGAATCTTCGTGTGTTTGTTTGAAAATGGTCGGAAACCGGGATTTAATCTGAAAATCGCGGATTCATCATATTTAATGCGGGTACATTAGTTAATATGACAACTTGGCAATTTAGGATTTCTGAAAACACATACAGTCAAATTAAATTTGGTTACAAATACCGTCCATTTGTAATAACCGTGTCGTACTGTAAGGGCATAGGTGATATTATAGGTCATATTACAATACAATACATTTTGAAATTCTGGGTTTCCTAGGACATCACCGAAATTAACCGTTGAGGGGGTGGCATCTCATCACCACGATTGCAGTACATGCATTGTAAAAATGTGTGCAATATTATGCATAGAGAATACACATTTTGATTTGCAATGTTATAAGCTCTCTAGTGGTGACAGTCTTCGTGATATCAACTCGTAATTGAGACGGATCTTTTTTTGGTGAGTCTCGATCACAGGCACCACAGCAAAGAACGCGCATCGCTTTGAATGCATCCGCGGCTATACGTAAAAATTATCACCAATTATTAAATAAACGTTTCACTTGTTTTGCTATATCTGACTAAATATAATATCATTGACATTTCGTAGATAGTGAATAACTGTTAATTTTACTACACAAATAACGTATTTTTAATAATATATAATACTTAAAAAGAAATATACCAACCATAACAGAATTAATGTTTATTTATTCACATAAATTAGATTTATTTAATATTTAATTTTGTCTGACACCAGCGACTTATTTGCATGACGTTACTGCTAAAAACAGTGTATACATATTATTAAGTAACACTTAATAATATATAACTTATATAATATATAAATACACGCCCTCTATAGACACCACAGGGGTCCAACGCTACAGAAAACAGCCGAAATCGCCGTAAACGTAATGCGTGTTCAATGAATGTCGCACGTGAATGGTTCTACCCTTCCTTTCTGTGAAATTTTTAATTCAAAAGTCCGTTACATGTAAAAGATGATATGTGAAATTTTATTACGAACTATCTTAATATGAACGAGGAACGACGAGCGTAATATGGCATGTGTCACAGTGCGTTAGTGTGACCGAGAATCAAGATTGAACATGTGACATCATTTTTCTTGTTATTTTTTTCATCATTGTTTATGATTAACACAACTATGCAGGAAGTAAGTGAAGTGTAACACCCACGTACATACATACTACAAGGCTTTAACACTATATTAATAATGAAATGCACGTCATTATTCGGGATAGGCATTTAATATATTTTGCCGTCACGTGGTTTGCCCATTTCATTGTTTAAATATGTAGGTGAAGTGGTATTGACGAACACTTGCTCTTATTACCTTGTGAATCAGAATCGGTAATCCGGTGTACATCACCTCCAGATTGGGAATTCCCACATTATATACTCTCCTACAATTCAAAATAATTTATTATTCTTCGGGAAGAACTGTGTCGTATAATTATTATTATTGATTCCACTATAATGCCCAGTTAATTTTGTATATTACGAGTCTCGTTTGTATTTAAACCGATTTGGCGATTATCAATTTTCTAGTTCTCCAACTTTTGTCAGAAATTGTAATACGAGTGTTCTGATTGAATATGGGTATCGGGTTCTCCTTCAATGAGGATTTGCAACGCTTAAAAAATAGGGCTTCCTGGATCGATCGATAGCTCTGTGTACTGTATTTATCGATATGGCAGACCCCAATCTTCAGTCCAGCTCATTGCACGGAACCTGTTGGGTTTTCCACTGCGGTTGTGCGTAACCGTAAATATCATCTCTGCATAAGAAACGCACGACCCGTTACGTTGAAAGTCACAAGTTAATTCGAGTAAGTACGATAGCAAATGATATCAAACTGGTGAATATTTTTGTCGAAGCATTATTTAGATTAGACTGACGTGTTTGTCCGAGTTATCAAAATACCGCATTGTTAATTTCAAACATCTTTTAATGCGTAGCAAAGACATGTGTCAACTATGTAAATCGTGTAAACGCACAAGCATGGTCTCTTTTTTACAGGAACGTTATTAATATGAAGGGGGCTTCAGTACAGATTTTGGTACTATTAATATGGCATGTTACGCTGATTGTAAGTATATCCATGTTATTATGTCGCTAAAATACACGTTTCTTCATGGACTGAAATGTATTTAAATCCTACTATGGACATGTGTTTGAAGACGGGTACCCCAAACCTGAAAACTGATTTTTTAAATGTATTTTACATTCACCCATGAATTCAATTGTTTATTTTAATGCATTCATATTTATTTGTGATCACAACACGTCTTTGTTTTGTCACCGTGATGCTGATGTGTTCAGGAAACCGTTAATGGTTATTTAGACGGCGACAGTAATACGAGGATTAAACGTAAGTAGATTGGCACATTCTATGTCTCATGCAACAGGTGAATGTTTTTTTCTCGAAAGTATGCAAAAAATGAGTTGTTTAGTCGACGGTAAACATAATTCAGTGGTTTCGAATACACAGTATGACTTCATGGTGGGATGGCGTTCAAGTTAGTGGCGTTGTAAAACGCTGTTATATATGCACATTGTTTGTTAAGGCATTTGTTTCTGCACAAGGTGTAAGTTGTCACATTATTATGGAAAAATATACACATACATAAAATTGACGCATGCATGAAGACATCACTGGATTCCATTCTGACAAGGAATTTTATTTCATCAATATAGCACTCTTTGAAAACAATTTTTAAAAAATACGAATGACTTTAAGCCGGTTGTCGTGTATTTTTTCACATTGTAAATCATTTATATCGATAGCCCCAGTATTATATTAACCTGTATTGAAGGCCCCGCTCGATGACCAACGTGAAATATGCAGGGTTATCTCAACTTCATTTTTCAATTCAATTCAGGCTGAACTGCATGTCTAAGCGCGCTCCGCTCCTATGATAAAATTTAGCCCGAACGTCTTTTCCATAATAATGCCTTAGTTCATATTACCAGGATCTCCGGAATCACTGCAGAACAAAAAGCTCGAATATGAATCCACAAAGGTGACGGAATTAGAAGACGTGTTAACGAATAACATGACGAACGTTGTGGTCTGTCATTGGGTGAAAATTGATGACGCCCCACCAAACAACACCAAACTACTGTGGCAATACGGGGATCCTGAATACGACCAACCACAGATGGGGCTCGCCTTGAATGAAGATGCACAGCCTATGGCGATTCTGTTCAACAGTGTACCAACTTACGAACTATCAGCGGCACTCAAAGACGGACAGTGGTACCATATTTGTCTGAAATGGGATGGCACTGTAGGATACGTGGAATACATAGAGAACGGCCAAGCTCGGACGAATGGTACAGACATCATTGCAACTCAAGAAATGTTAGCATACGGGACACTAAAGCTTGGCGGCGCTGACTACAAATTCGAACTATCTGAATTCAACATTTGGCAATCAGATATGAACTTGTATGAAATCCAAAAGATATATAACTGTAATCCAAAGAGTCAAGGAGATATGTTTTCCTGGAATTCAATATCTATAGTTGATGATCAGGAAATTGTTAAAGATTTAGATTTACCGGGAGGTAAGTTAGAATATTTATTTTTTGAACGTTATGAGCTGCAGCTTAAAAATAAATCACATGAGTATTAGGAAGTCCGATACTTGAAGAGTAGTAAATCGTATATATTTATTAATGCATATATCCAAAATTATAATATGAGACAAGTTTTCTGATTGGGCAATCTGCTTTTATTGGCCAACCAGATTGCTTGGCTAATTATTCCTAAAATACTACTTTAATTATTGTAAGGAATTATATGAATTCGATTATTTCTCGTACTCTCAGATATAAGTTAACATATTGTAAACTGCATATACGTGGGATACCATTTTTATTTCTCCCAACTTCAATATGTCGCGCACGCACGGCTATTACGCAGGTCTGTTATCATACAGTACTAAGCCTTGACATTCGAATTCTAAGGTCACTATCACTGAAAATTTACCGTGTGTACAGTGCGACGAATATACGGGCTAAACTTGTGTAGTAATTGCCATTTAATTTAGCTTATACCCATGATCACTTCCCATTTACTTGCTGGAACATATACCGCCTGCACGGTGTTGTTCCGTACGGACATTGTTAGTGCTTTACTGGAATATTCACCTTGACAATTCAAGATATTGCTGGAAGTACATAGCTTTGCTCTGGGGCTGAAGCGATGATTTCACGACCCATTTTTTTTTGAAGTGATTTCTTGCCAATTACATATGAATACAAAGGCATGATTTGAAATGTAGTTCAGAGGTAGTCGATCTGGTGTTTTGATATGAGCACATTGAAAATGGACTGTATAATAAGTAAAAAGATAATAGTCTGTGATTATGGAAATTCGTCTATCTGTGTGTAAACGCATCGCTAATATCATAATTCAGATTCTGATACTTAGATGAGTTAATGAGATTTAATATAGTTTTATGGGAGGCCTTAAAAATTGCCGATACTTTGTAAATATATTGTGCCTTGGAATTTTGTGATAAACCATGGAGTCCAGGACCATTTTTTTAAGATAAGCGTAATATTACATTACGTGGACTATGGCGTATAATGTAAAACTTGACACATTCATTTTCTCCCATTCTTTGCGAAACTCGGGAATGTGAGCTAATGAACGTATCGGGAACTATGTTTTTTTTTTTTAAATTAAAGGCGGGGAAGGGGTAGACATATACGTAAAGATAAATATATTCAAAGGTTAGATGAGAATAGTTAAGCAAAAGATTTAACCAGTCACTTAGACATTGGTATTTTCAGAAATTTTGTTTTAGAATGTTATTTCTCTGTCTATGGCTATGAAAATATTTGATAGCTGATATGGATTTTTCCCATTGCGATTTCATTTCTCTCACATTCACTCGAATTCGCGATTGACCAATAGACTATTATCATTGTAATACTTTGATTATCACACAAGACTATGCACGTGTAAACCGTAATATTTCACTTCAGTAATACTTAACTTGAAGTACACATATATTATGTGGTATTTGCATAATTATTAACAAGGTGAGATGTTTGAAACAATTTCTCAAGATTTCAAAAATTGAATTTTGTTAACGTCGTTACTAATAAGATTCAAACTCCAAAGTTAAATCTGTGTCGGCAGGGTAATCTACATGCACGCGTGGCAATAACAAGTTTTACCCACGACATTGAGAACAATAGAGTGTACGGGCTTTAGTATTTCTAAAACATTATGCCGAGTTGTGTAGTTGCAACACAAATATCCTGAGGTCGAATGGTGATTGCAACGACCCAAATGCGCTCTTGAGTATCACAATGTTTCCGAAACACAACACAATAATGGTAAACTGAGCGCGTATTAAACAAATCACTGTCGATTGAAAATGTAAGATGAGCCAAAATGAAAATTGTATCAATGCTCATCTTATCATATTAATAATACAATAATCAAGTTTCCTGGTTGACGTGTCATGTTGTTGTGTGAGTTCCGCCTAAGAAAGGGATTGACTTTTTTAAAATATATTTTTGTACCAGGGGAAACTGAATGTCGCGTCTGTTTTTCCTTTTTATGTGCATTTTGCACGTACCAGTGGTAACACTTTATTTTTTCAAAATGGAATTATTTTGTCCATGTTTATTTCATTTATGCACGAAATGTGTGATAATGTAGTATTGTGATGATAATATAGCAGGAAAACGTATGCATATCCCACGATAATACGTTTCCTGCTATATTATCATCATATAGGACTTTTGGTTATTCCAGTTTAGGACTACGTGACTAGGCTGTGTGATCATAATGGCGTTACAATGCTGTTATATATGCGTCAAGCAGGCCCGGTTGACGAACACAGGCACATTCGGACCTTAATCAACGTTCCCTCAAATTCTCATTCGCTAGTAAATGAAACTCGGCTAACTGATTTAGCGTTCCATTTGCGTCTGTGGCACGTTCATCCAGTCGAGAGTAGGGGGCCGTGTTTTCAACCTCGGATAGGGTTTGAACTCGGGTGTACCGATTACCGAGTCCGATCGTGAAGACGCGCACCACAATTTATCGCAATTTAACTCATCCTTTACTGTTGTCATAATTCACAAACGTCTTCAATACAATTATGCATAATAATATTATACACAATTTTATTTTATATCATCAATTTTTATAGCTTTTTAGTTTGAATGTTTTATAAACTTTCACAAGTAACTGGATTGCCTTCAATGCAAAAATTATGTGTTTAGAACAAAACTGAAAATAATATTATCAGCGTGAAAATGCAATTTGCGTTGGAAATTGACATTATCGCGTGCATGATAGCCAGACAACCAGTGAACCAACAATGAGTTATTGACCACAGCTACTAGAAGATTCGATGATCGATGAAACCGAATGGTAATTACAGGAGGCCAACTAACAGGGGCAACGGGTTAATTGGCTTTTGTTTTTTTGGCAATTATCTTATAGGCACCAAGTCTATCACATTTGCAACCGTTTAATGAACTGTTGAGTAACATAGTTTACAACATCAAGGTCATCACAACGGACACTCAAATGGCAAATGCAATTTGAAATACAAATATCAAGACGCAAAATAACATTTCCCAGTAAAGGCTGTTAACACATAAACATATTTACCGTATTGGAGCGGTATTCGTAGAGCCTGGGTGACTTTATTTACATACTTATTTGTTTAAATAAAATCTGAAGGTCGCTGACATCAGAAAAAGAGTCGCTTTTGCACAGCTTATAGTAGTTGGAATGGGGTCGAGAAATGAAGATTGGAAATTATAATATACTTAAATATTAATGGATAAATTATATTTATGTACAAATAAATCTCCACTAGTACTGTTGCCAATTGAGGTACGATATAAATATTCATTTATTAAGTATGGACAATATGTTTTTCAAGGTAGGACGACGGTTGAATAATTCTCCAAATCCCACGTGACTTAACATATCTATCATACAGTCTGAAATGTAACGTTTGACATATACACTGTAATACTGTAAGAATCGCCCTTCGTACATGTAGTATGTAGGACCAACGTAACATCGTTTCACCATTGTATTCCATCTAGTTTTAGCCATTAGGACAAAATCGATACAAGACGCGTTTTATAGCGCATCGTTAAGGCTGATAAACGCATTCGTGCTTAATCGATTTACGCAAACGGGAATGCTTCTCAAACCCGTTTAGTGTTCGTATACGCTGCCAAACCTCTACTATATCGACGAATAACCCGTTTTTTTACTACAGAGAACGAAGCGACATTTGTATGCGAAGGATGTGCGAGGTACGAGTTGTACTTCACTAGACAAACTTACGCATATGCCAAATATGTATGTGAACAAAAGGGAAGCCTGGCCAAGCTTGCGACAAAAAGTACCTATCAGTTCGTTCGGTCGTTGTTATTAAGTACTGATATAATACAGCGTGTGCAGGGAAATGGTTATTGGATAGGCCTGCGGGACACAGGAATAAACCAGTTCGAATGGCAAGACGGCGAACCACTTGAAAATGGTGACTATAGTAACTGGGCAAAGCGGCAGCCGAATAACAGGAAAGATAAAAACGGAAACTACCAGGACTGCGTTCAGTTATGGTGAGTGGTCGATTTGTTCTCTAACTATCTAGTATATTGTAATATCCAATGAGGTAATTAAGAAGCAGTGAATGTTATAAAGTTGTTACTATGCGACGGGGAATTTTGGAAACATTGGTGAACACGTATGTCCGTTCACTGTTTGTGCATCTACATGTATTATTCTCTATTGACCTTAGACGCGCAAATCTCCGCCATGATCTTGTCGAGAGCGAGAGTGTGACACGGCACTCGCTTATTTCTCTTAAATAGTGTTCCGTCATCGTATCCAATGTTCTAAATATCACAGTATTATAGGTCAATGACACAATGTCGGGAGAAAATGGAACAATATTTAAGGGGAAAACCAAGTCTCGTGCTGCTCTCTCGCTTTCAATGAGATATCGGCGGCCATTTATCGTCTCATGAATTATTGATGAGCAATTATTGATATAATCTATTACATCTTCGTACTCGACAATTGAATGTCGTTGTCCTCTCTCCGCAGGGCAAAAGGAGCTTTCAAGTGGGACGATGATTGGTGTTATAAGAAAAAGAGTTATATTTGTGAAATTGATTGTAAGTCTCTACATTTTGTATGTTATTTATGTGGGAATTTTAACAGGGTATTCCGGGCTGTCTGTAGGTTGGATTATATGAAAAATGATTTTAAAGAAGATTTTAACTCCAAGCTATGCATATCACGTTATAGATGCAGATTTCTCTACACTCGCAACAAAATGTTTTCGTATTTTTGTTAGATTCAGAAAGTCATGGCTTCACATTGTTCACATTGTTGTTAACATTTCGCAGTTCTATCACCAGTGCAACAGGCACAAAAAACAAAAAAAAAAAAAAAACAAACAAATAAAAAATCCCTCAAATTACTAAGAAGAGTACAAAAATGCGAAAAGTTTTTTTTTTAAATTCGTTGCTTAATTTGCAAGGCTGTACTTAAATAAAGACAAAGATTATTTTCCTTGTAAAAAGCGATGCCGAAAGAATCTCCATGCAATTTACTGTTAATAGAACTTTACGGAGGTTTAAGTGGTTTGCTGGTTAAAGTTTCAACCATTTTATTTAAAGTATCTGTAAAATTTGCACTGGATCAATAACTCATGTTTTATGGTTGGTCAGGCAAGTGTTGCTTGTAAGAATATGGTAGCCACACAATGAAGCCCACCCGGGTATTTTACACTTCTTGAATTTTTAAATGTAAACCTAGCATTACACACATTACACCTGACCTAGGCACCCTTTTTCTATATAAATACACAACGTATACAATGTGAACATTTCTAATCGAATGGACGGAAACTCTCTGATCTATTTAGATTTGAACCTCCTTTTCTAACTGGAGAATCAAAATGAATATGATGCCAATTTACAAACCTAAACGATTATTTGCGCCGTATTGCTTCAGATATATTTGAATAGTGTTGTTTAATATCGTTCTCTTGTGGTATATGCGTGTGCGCAACAGTGTTTGGCACCAGTTTAAAATCGAAGAACAATACAAAAATGCGTTTGTTTTGTTCCAATTCCTCACATAACAACTAAAGAATAAGCTAAGCATCTAGGCACTTTGCAAAACAATACGGATTGGATATGGATTTATAGATTGGTGTACTCAAAAGGGTAAGGGGTACCTGCCTAGATAACTGATACTGTGTTTCATTATGCATTATGAGTATCATCTACAGAATATGTGTTTACATCCGCCAAGCAGTCTTACCTCCATACGCATCTGATTTGTATCGAGTATATAGAGGGTTAAGGTAAATGAGGTTGATCAGTTTCTCTTCACAACCAACTCGTGAATGTTGACAGATAGTTAGTGACGTTGACTAATTAAATGTGTAAGATATGTGCGGGAACATGCATCTGTATTATTTATTTCATAATATAATTTCCTCCATGATTATTCATATATGTGCTATTACGAGTTTTTATTTCCAATTCGTGTTTTTTTCTATTTTATAGTTTGTTCAGCATGATATCTTGACTCGATGCACAACGACAATCTGGATGTGAAAATCCCGCTGAATCATATTTCAATGTAGAAGCTATTAGTGCAGCTAATTCTTCTTCCGCTTCTGTCATTATTTTTTGCACAAGACGTTTCAATAATAGTGTTCGATTTTATATTTCTATTGTGATCTCTCTGTCATTGTTTGTATCATGTAAATCCTTCAGAAATGTGAAAATACTTTGATACCAATTTCTAGAAAATTCATTTCATATTGTAGCCTAAAATTATTTGATAACGATCCATATTTTGGAACTATAAAAATACTTTGCACATGATTTCTTGTTTCAGTCCACATCCACCGATCACATGACATATCGCTTTACACATGTGACGTCAAGCTTGAAACGTACAACACTTAACCGGAAACAAAAAAAAAACAATTGAGAAATGCGCATTTGATATGATTATTTTGATGACTTCTTGCGGTATTGTCACGTGTATAACATGCAGTTAGCACGTGAATGCTCTTTGCTACACGCGTTCGCCACGTGTGCAAAATCATTATGAAAGGAATCGTGTATTTGTGAGCTGATTACATAATGTCATACATATTTATAACATTAGTGCAATGAATCGTCAACGTAAAATTATTAAACATATCTGAATCTCTTGTGTTTATCACAGCTTTTTACGAAACTTTATGTCTATGTGATCAAATAATTTTCGTCGGGAAGTTACAAATTATTTCATATTAATTTAAACAGGCGATGTTTAAAACACTGAAGCAACTTTGAATGTTTCAGAGTAATGCCATTTGCTATATATTTCAATATATATTTAAAAAACAAAACTTCTTTATTGCAATAATGTATGCTTTATTAGAACTTTAAAAACAATTACAAATAAATACAGATCCTCTGAGCTTTGAGTTGTTGTTTTTGTGTAAAATTTACTATCACCCACTTTCCTCAGTTCAACATGAACATATTCTAGGCTATGGCGTAAACATTTCCCAACGCTAAACCTAACATGTTTGACGATTCTCAATTCAAGATCATTAAATATGGGATCCGGAAGCCTTTACAACATATATTAGGTGGTAACAAGAATCTCGTATATCAGTTTCTCAAATAATATGGGTTTTCCGGCTTCTGGCGGGATATCCATCGGAGTTTTAACACGTTTTGAATCATGCGAAAGAATATACTTTTCGCCATTTTTGACACCGCCGTCACTGCGAACGAGGTCATGCGCCGCCGTTTTTACTACTGTTTGTTCATTACTAACGTCTCCTCTATATAAAGTGATAAGATCGTGTGCTGAGAAACGTTTTAAATAAATTTAGAACTGGAGGAATAGTATGACTACACACACAGGTAATCGTTCGTAATCGACTTTGTACAATACTGTATATTATAATACTTAATAATAATACTTAATAATAATTGTATCTCAATAAATAAATAAATAAATAAATACATAGATACAAGAATAATATTATATACATTTCTTTTGTAAACACAACTTTCTAGTTGTGGCTTACCGTTTAAACCGCATTATTATTGCTAAACCTTTGCGATGAACAATATCTTAAATACATTTCCGAAGCGGACTGAACAATTAATTGTTCTGAGACATATAGGACCAGCCCCGCGGATCCACAAATCAGCACGGGCATGTGGACACACGGAAACTAAATCACAAATCCCTGTTTTCGGACTTTATCCGAAAAAGGACTAACAAAATGTCCGCCAGTCGGCCATCTTGAGTAAAATTTACAAATCAATGTGGCGTGCATCAGGTATCAATGATCTTTAATCTTTGTATAAAATCAAGTTTGAAGAAAATCAACACAAGCCAGAGATCTGGTTCCAGACATGTCAAAATACCTCATTTTAGTGTTTTTTTCAGCCATCTTTGATCGTTTGTTAAATTTTTGCACATGCATGTGTATAAAGTTAAAAAAGCATTGCTCAAAGCAAGTACGAAATATACTAGTATGTGTGGAACAGAATTTGTCAAAAACAAAATGGCCGCCAGTCAAATTTACAAATCAAACTGACGTGCTTCAAACATTCATAATGGTTAGTCATTACATCGAAGTTGAAAAAAAAATCGGCGCCACTTTCCCGAAATCTAGTTCCGGATATATCAACATACCCGATTTTAGTATGTATAACGTTTAAAGACAGTTGCTCAAAGCATGTGCGAGATTATGTCCAAAATACAAATTTGTCAAAACAAAAAATGTCACCAAACAGCCATTTTTAGTCAAATTTACAAATCAAAGTGGCGTGCTTCAACTAAGTTTGAAGTTAATCAGAAAACACATGCCCGAGATTGGGTGTTTTAACAACAAAAATGGCCGCCAGTGGGTCATCTTGGACCGAATCACGAAATCATCACACGTGCATACATCAAGGCATGTCTGAAACACGGCTTAAGAGTATAAGTTACGCCTTATACCAACATATTAAATTATGATTAAATTTTAATAAAAAGTTGAAATATGGTTGGACTCTATATAAGGTTACAATTTAGTTGAAGTTGAAAAAAGTCAATTAAATAGCAACTCTATATCGGATTTAATTAAATGACTTCTAAAAAAGTAGTAACAACATGATATACATTCTAACCTAAAATAGAATTGTTTGCATAGCCTAGGATTAGTAAAGAGATTAGGTATGGTACAAATATATTAAATTTAACATAATATGTGACATACCTAATCCTTTTACTCACCAATAGGCTACGCAAACTTGGATTAAATATTAATATACATTCTGAAAACATTTTTACATAGTGACGCCCTTGTCCTTGCCTTTGCTTTATTGCATCTCATAAATGAAAGAATATAAAGTACCTCCTGAAATGACATTACACCACACTACACCACACCACACCACACCACACCACACCACACTACACTACACTACATTACACTACACTACACTACACTACACTACACTACACTACACTACACTACACTACACTACACTACACACCACACCACACCACACTACACTACACTACACTACACTACACTACACTACACTACACCACACCACACCACACCACACCACACCACACCACACCACACC